TATTTCTCCATTTCACCTAATCTATAATGTTGCTGGTAAGTAATAATACTGAAAATTTTCTTTCAAAAGCTCATTATATTATATGTAACATTTTTCCTTACTCAGGCAGTCAAAATATAAAATACATAAAAAAATAACAACATTTTTAAATTTTCTATTGACTCATCTCTATTAACCTAATAGTTCTTGTAATATTAAATTATTTGATTATTTTAGCTCTTGTAATTTAAATGGGCCAAAATTTTGGACAATTTTTTGAAAAATATTCAATTTGGACTAAAAGTGCAAATCGATTAACCGAACCGATCCAAAGTGTTGTTCGATTTAAGAGATTGAGTGGGTTGGTTTGGATTGAAATTCACCCGAACCGATTAATTTGGTTTTGGTTTTAATTTCAGGTTGGAGTTGAAATCGATCCAACCAAACTGCGCCCAGATCTACTTGTGGCGTAAAACATCTTTCATGGCATGAGTTCATTGAAAATTTAAAAAAATAAAATAAAATAAGATAAAATTTCAGTTCACCCAAACGTTTTTCTTTAAGATCTCGTTTCCTATTAATCCTCCACAAAAATGACTCTAAAACTATTATGAAAAATATAAACATTGATATGAATAATATTTGCTCTTAATTATTTTTTAATAATTTAAATTTTTAGAAACATCTTCATCTCATATGGTCGAAGAACAAATAAAGATTTTAAGTTCAAATATTCATTAATGAAAACACTACGTGTTGAAATTTTGAAGAAAACAATAAATCTGATCTAAATCTAAAACCACATTTTAAATACAACTCTAGTGAAATGAGGCTCCTCACCAAGGCAGGCTGGTCCACTTGGAGCCAAAAATTGGCAAAGGCGTTTCCTTTTTCTTTTTAATTTTTCTTCTAATGAGATTTTCTCAAATCTCAGTGAAATGATAGGTACTGTGATCCATTAAATTGGTTCGATATGGACATTCGGGTGGGCGGTGATGATCATAATAATGAATCAATTTGAATGCCGATCATGTCAATTTGACGCAAAATATTCAACACACACACACACACATTCAATGTGTTACCAATTTTCTACTATAATAGTATAGTTTACACTGGTTGACCTTTTGTTAGATTTTGAAATAAATTTATTGGGAGACCTTTAGCCTAGGGATGGCAATTGGATTTGTCGGTTCGGGCCGCCCGTGGTTCAACTCGAAAAAAGCTCGAAACTTGGGAGAACCGAGCCGAGGCTCGGGCCAAGCCCCATTTTTAGGTGTAGGGCAAAGCTCGAGCCGGCCTGTGTGACTTGTCGGCTCGGAGCATATTTAAAAAAAATTAATTAGAAAATAAATAAAAGGCAGTGTACTGCTGCCAGAAATAGGGCAGCAGGTTGCTGCCTTAAATGGCAGCAACCTGCTGCCATTTTATTTAATAAAAAAAAATTCCAAAACCAAACAAAACCAGAACCGGGTCGAGCCTAATTTTTTTTGCTGAGCTTTTGCTCGGCTCAGGCCCGAAAAAAAAGCTCAGATATTTTATCAAAACCGAGCCCGAGCCTTGAATTTCGGTTCGCAAGCCGGCTCGACTCGTTGACATCCCTAGATCATCCATGTACAAGGCTCTTTGCAAATTAGTTTATGATAATCCATGTTAATGCAGGTCAATTTTACTTCAAAAACTTTGAGGAAAGAAAAAGATTGTTTATAAGTTTAGAGAGGAACATACTGAATGAGTTCACCCCCACCCCCCCGGCCCCAACTTTCAATACCTTTACGAGAAGTCGTCTGATCGACTTTCAATAATTTACATAAACTGTGTCCACAGGATACATAAGGACTGATCTTTTTTAATGCATACTGACAAACTGGTAGAATAATTTAAATATACAATGCACACGAGGTGACGAGGTTGAGTCTTTTCTAAAGCACACACATAGTGTCATACATCAAAATACGAACTCTTACAATAATAATACAGAATGATAATAAAACTACACATTGCAATATAGTTGTGACAATTCTGGAACAGTAGAGGCATGCGATTCCTAGATTTGCTTCTGATTTTGGTACTTCATTTGAGTCTCAGGACAGTCAATGATACCACCAATGATCTTCTTCAAGGGTGGTGGTGTCTTATGAGTCCTCAAAGGGATAAGCAATCTGAAGATCATTTCATGGAGCTATGCCACAAGTCATTTTGTGTTAATTAAAAACGATGGAGAAGTAAAAAAAAAAAATTATGTCCTTCTAACAATGTTTTGGATGAAAACTGTCATCATGGACAAGATGTACTAATTAACATAATGTTGATTGTAAAAATGCAATTAAAAATGTTGAGGGACATAACTATAATAATAAGCAAAGGTTAAGAATATTTAATGCAATTTAAATTTAATGCACTTATAAGAAATGGTGGTGTCAATATGGTCACACATTTAAAAAGGAAAACTTTACTAAGTGCACAATGTATATAGGGTGTAATTACACTTTGAATAATATGTTTTATAAATTTACATTTTACATACTATATTTTGCATAATGATACAAAAAGCACCATCGAGTAAAAATTTTACAAATATGACATTACAAGTAGTTGAATGGACAAAAATACTCCTAATTAAAATAACAAATCATAACCTATGTATTAGTTTATGAAACGTTTGGTGTCTATTTTCTATTTATCGATTTTTCATTAAAGGATGAATTTCATTTTGTTTAGATTAATAAAAGGGAAAATTGCAGCCGTGATCTCAAACCTTTACATTTTTTTGCAATCCAAAATGATGGAAAACGTTAGTTCCAACGTCAATTGACCTTAAAAATGAGGGAAAAAATGCAAATTTTGACCAATTTAAACAATGACATTTTCGTCCAATTTAAAAGTTCCTATATTTCACCTCATTCATTACACTTCTCCACTTTTGCACTGGCATTACACATCCCAATATTAAATGTCAAAAATTATAAAAATCATTCCTAATTTGTTTTGTTCTCTACATCTACCACAGCCTAAGCTACAAGAAACATGTAGTTATCTGCATCAATACCAACTGCTGCATCAATACCAACTGCAGCCAACAAGTGCCTACCTTGTGCCTTCTTTGTATGAAAATTCCCCTGTAGAAATTGGTTACAATTTGCCTTTTTTCCATTTTTGAGGTCAACGAATGGTGGAACCAACTTTTTTAGTCATTTTGAACTGCATATGCGAATTTCTCAAAGGTTTATGACCTATACGGTGACGCAAACTAAAAGTTAAGGTAAAATCTACAAAAAATGCAAATATTTATGACCATAGCTGCAAGTTTCCCATAATAAAATTTGTTGACCTCAAAATCTGATTTGGACCCAACTCATCAAGAGACCATCACTCATCTCTCCTTCACATACAATATTTGTACTAATAGACACACAAGTTAGAGGGACATATCGAGGCTTCTCCAAACAAAGTAACGAAAATTGCAATAGCACGCACTCCAACGCTTAAATCAATGAACAAACATATAACTTGGTGTATGAGAAATGCGAAACGAAAAGAATGCACAAGTCTAGTTTATATTTCTAGAGTAAAAAAAAATATCAAATTTGCAATTACCACAATGTGTGAGTATTTATAAATTTTTAGTCCTATTTTGATCCTTTTAATTCAAATTTTCAATATTGATCATGTCCAAAACCTTCCACGTTGATCCTCAAACCTTTTATATTCATCCGTAATTGGTCCTTCTCAAGTTTTGAAAGTATGTAAATCAGTCCCTTAACTTTTCAAGTGTTACATTTCACTCTCGACACTTAAAACTTCTCTCCGATTGCTCTCTTAATGCTTTTTATCAATCTCGTTCAATTCGGTTAGTCTTCAATTGCTTAGAATCAATTTCAATTAACCTCAAAATCTCTTTTTTCTCCAAATGCCTCCTTGTCCGAAATTTACCTATAATAAAAATAATTACACTAAATTAAATAAAATTTCGCTTAATTTACAAAATTTATCAAGTTTATAAATACAAATAATATGTAAAACACACTTATCACTAATACAAGAAATTTTAATACTGAATAAATATGAGGCTTATGATTCCAATATATAATATTCAATACAAGTCGTCAAAATGTTAATGCAAGAGAATAATCAGATTAATTTAGTCGCTATTGAAGTCATTACATCACGTGGATATCCATAAATCTCTATATTTATTATTCACATGAAATAATTGCCCCCATGCACTCACTCCACTTTTTGTCCCTGGCTTCGCTCTCTGTAAAAATTGGATTCACTTTCAACGAATGCAAAATTACGATTATTCAATCAGTGCACCCACCATATATGTCCCTTATTGTTCCATCCTATTCAAACTACAAAGAGCCCATGTGCTATTTATCGACGATGATGACGGATCTTAGTATTAGAAAATTGACCTATCTATAGCCAAGCGATCGTCTGGTTCATATTATTTCAAATTATAATGAGAGGAATAGAAATTTTTTGCAGAATGTGTGGTTAAAAAGAAAGAAAATTTTTTTGAATTTACATGTAATATTATTTTATTGGAGAATGTGTGGTTGATAAGAATGTGAAGAAAAATGAATTATAATTTAATGGGAAATAATGTGGGCAAAACGAGGGCACGTGTCATGGTCTCATTTTTATTTCTAATTTCTTTTACTTCAAAAAATTGTTATATTAGCAAAATCCCTCAATTAAATTGCTTGTTATTTTATTAATTTACCCACAAAATTCTTTCTCTCAATTTTTGTGTCTACTTATCATCAAAGAAGCTTAAAAATGAATAAATGTTACTTCAGTACTTGATTAGACAATCAATTATGACGAAAAATTAAGAATTGAAATGAGACTTACAATGAACGTTAGATGTAAAATCATTTAAAAGAATCTAGGAGTGTCAACTGGTTTACACAAAATTTAATTTGAACTATTTAAAGTTCTTTCGATCACCAGTTCGATTATGACCCTTAATGCTTTACCTTTTTTTATTCTTTCTTGTCCGAATTTTAAAATTTTGATCTTCATAGATTAATGTTTAGTATCATAGCGACATGTCATATATATGTAACATTCCACTCCAAAAAGGAGGAGTTTCGCCATCCAAATTGGTATGCACCTCACATTCTCTAATCCTTGCTTGAAGGGGTCTCCTGGTTTCTGCTCCATTTTATCAATCTCCCATTTCGGGTCTTTCTTGAGAGAGAAGGGAAAGAAGGGGAAGAAGCTGCTGAAAGAGTCTCATTCTTTGCCCTTTTCTTTTGACTCCCAATTTTCTCGTTCTTCAATTTCGAACTCTTGACTTCCCCAGCAATAGATCCAGATGTCCTATATTTCTGCTGGAAATTTTTGATCCTATTGATTAAACATTGTCGTTTTTTGCAGATTTCTCGTGGCATCTTCCAATTTGCTGTGTTTTTGTCTGAAATTTGAGGTTTTATAGTCAGTTTTCCTTTGAATGAATCGTATTTTGCTTTTTTCCAGAGGACAATCCCCTTGATCTTCTCTCTCAGTTAACCATTCGATCAATTCTCTATTCTTCTTTCTCAATTTCTGCAATTCATCCCAGTTGCTTCAGATTTTTCGATTTATTTATAATTTTATTCCTCGATCTTGATTATTTATTTTCTTGGAATCTCTGCCTAATCCATTGCATTTCCAGCTCATTCATCTGGGAATGTTCTATATATCGGTTTTGCGAAAGGACCTTGCTGCAATGGCAGAAAAAAAATGACAGAAGGCCTGATTGTTTTGCTATAACGTAATTCATTTCTAGATTTGGGTTTGTTTTCTCTGATAATGGGTTGCGTAAATTCGAAGAAAAAATTATGCCAGAATTGCCAGGCGCCGGTGCGGCGGAGCTACTCAATGAACGTCCGCCGTCCGTCGGGAAAATCAGACGATAGCCACCATGTGGTGGCTTTTGCTTCATCCACATTAGGTTCTTTGAGGCTTGATACATTGAATCGGCATCATCCATTTAATCAGAATCATTTTATAGAAGACGAGATTCCGTTTGGAAATGTGGGAAACAATAAAGAGAAAGTGATTAAAGATGAGTTCAAAATGGAGATGATCGAGGCAAAAACTTGGTCAGAAATGATCAACGAGAAAATCCCAAAGGTGTTTGCTAAAACGCCTACAAGAACTCCTCCGGGTGAGCCGGAGACTATCAATGTTTGGGAATTGATGGAGGGTCTTGAGGATTCTTGCCCTCTAAGGCCTCCTCACCATCTTCGTAGTTTTTCTTTCCAGGTTCCACGTAATCCATATTTGTCATGTCTTGATGAGCAATCGACGCCAAGATTGAAAGAAAATGGTGAAGCATCGTCCACTGCGTTGCGGTCCGATAGGACTGATAATGACTCGAATTTGAATTCGACTTCAAATGGTATGTCAGTCCATGTTCCGCAAAATCCTATTTTGTCTCATCTTGATGATCAAACTATGCCAAGACTGAAAGAAAATGATGAAGCGCCATCCATTCCATTATGGCCCGATATGTCTGACAATGACTCGAACTCGAATTCGAATTCAAATGATACATCTATAGTTTCAGAATTTGATCCTGAGGTGATTTCCACTTTTCGGAAAGCACTCGAGGATCTTCCTCCGGCCAATCCGTTCCACCTAAAGTCATTGGACAGTGAAAACCAGGCAGTATTGACCGGAAAGGATCAGCTTTTGGAGGTAAAAAATGATGAGCAAAAAGCAAATGGCACTTTCGCGGGGAATCGGGTTAATGCAGCACGCGGTACAGGCAAAGTGATTGTGTATTATACAAGCCTAAGAGGTGTGAGAAAGACATACGAGGATTGCTGCCATGTTCGAGTGATTCTAAAAGGGTTAGGTGTTAAGGTTGATGAGAGGGATGTATCAATGCATTCAGGATTCAAGGAGGAGCTGAAAGAGTTATTGGGGGACGGGTTCCGGGGGGGCTTGCCAAGAGTTTTTGTGGGACAGAAGTATGTTGGCGGGGCAGAGGAAATCCGGCAAATGAATGAGGAGGGAAGGCTCGAAAAGGTGGTGGAAAGCTGTGAACTGGTGGAGGACAGCGGTGGTGGAAGTGGAAGAATTGAGGTTTGTGAAGCATGTGGGGATATTAGATTTGTACCTTGTGAAACATGTTGTGGGAGTTGTAAAATATACTTCGAGCGTGATTTTGAGGAAGAATACGATGAAAGTGAACATGAATATGGCTTTCATCGATGCCCTGAATGCAATGAAAATGGACTTGTACGATGTCCAATGTGTTGTGATTAAATACATGTTGCTTGAGCAAGATTTTTCCATTTTCGGGTTTTTCATTTCCTTTGTGAGTCGTTTGTTGTACATAAGTGGCTTGTCTCTACAGTACTAAACAATATTACGAATAAATATGAAATCATAAGTTTATTAAATGCCCATTTTTAACTCGTATTATTTGCCAAATAGGTCCGTAGAGATTTGATGGTTTGCGGACAGTCACCGATGTTGTCTTTTAGATATGTTGGTTGCTTGTGCTGTTCGTTTCATTCTCAGGAGAATTTGTGTACTTTTTAACTGTTGTTGGAGTGTAACTATTTTCCTAATTTGTTTTATTAAAGAAATTCTTCTAGACTAACTTGATCAAGTCAAGTTGGTACAGATCTAATTTAATTTATATTTTGTTATTTTCTTATTCTATCCGTCTTCACTTTCTTTTATGATTTTATAAGCACATTATAAACAATTATAAGGAACTAATCAAAGTTGAACATGTATTGCACATTATTCTGGAATACTTTTTAAATGTTATAAAAGTGATATTTTATCCTAATTTATGGAAGGATTTGTTGAGTCTCAAAAAA